GTCCCATTGGGGTGCAATGTAGGAGATCCGCTGGGTCAGCCCATGCGACCTGCCAAGCCCAGTGCCTGCCTGCCTGCCTGCCTGCAAAAAGACCTTGCAGATAGCAATAGCACTTAAGGCACCGTTGTGCCTACTATTCCTACCCATTTCATTCATCTTCGTGTTTATTCTTATATCTATTACTTTGTAAACCATTGACAAATCAAAGCAAAATAAAATACCACTTCATAGTGCTTTACACAGTCCTCTCTAAGCGGTTTTGCCCTCCCTATTTCCCCTCCTCCCCCCCCCCCAACCACCAGGGTCCTCGTTATTTTTAATGACCCTGGATGGATGGAAGGCTGTCACAACCTTGAGCCAGTCAGGATTTGAACTCCTGGCAGTGAGCGGAGTCAGCCTGCGATACCGCATACTAACCCCCCCTCCCCGTGCCACCACGGCTCTTTAGATAGACTTGTGGGGATGCTGAGAAGGAAAAAAGGGGTTGCATTCGATCCCGGAAGAGATCTCTAGAATGCAATTCTTTGCATGCCAAGTCATGTTGAACCGGGCTCTGTGGCTTAGGAAGAGAGCCGCAGTCAGCTGCAGCAGATTCCTTGGTGAAGATCCCCTGCTTTCTTTAACCAAGGCAAACCCCCATTCACCCCGCTGAAGTCATCCACCCACCAAACCACCAAATTGCTAATCCTTTTGGGTTGCTTCTCTGAGGTGTGGGTCACTTTATAAACCGGACTTTCAGGTCCCATAAATTGGCATGGCTGGGTGGGCCTTTGTTGGAGTTGAAAAAAACAACCAAAATCCATTGCACCCGGAGGGGTAAACAGGCTGGCAAAAGCTGATGCAGTGAGTCTCATCGGTTATAAGGGGATGGGCGGGCTAAGGGAGTCCTCTGTTGACGAAAAGCAGGATTCATGGGACTGGGAACTGTGCTAAGAGAAAAAGCATTTGGAACAGTTTCATGCCATGTAGTTCTCTATGAACACACATGTGCATTCCATTCATTCCGTATATTTCCTTCCTAAACCAGCAATCTGGCCAATCTGTTGTTTTAAAACCAGCTTTGGTGCTTTTTACAAATACTATTGCATTGCATATTATTTGACCATCGCCCAGTCAGCCAGATGTTCAGTCTGGGATTGGCATTTTGGTCTACCTATCGAGCCCTTACCAAGGACCTGGGATAGGCAGATCTGGATGTTTGACAGATGTTTACATATAGCATTGCAGGATAGAAGCAGTTCCAAGCAAAGCTGCCTTCTGCAATTGACTGATGGCGAATTTGTCAATGCCTATGGTGCTCCAGTTGTTTTCGGATTGCACCCAAGGCGCCTATTACTATTGGTACTACCCTTGCTTGCCTTTGCCACAGTCACTCTATTTCTATTTGTAGGTTTTTGATATTTTGTTACCTTCTCCAGTTTTTTCTCTTCTATTCTTCTGTCTCCAGTCACTGCCACATCCACTATCCAGATTTTTTTAAAATGTTTCTTATCAACAACCATTAGTACCAGTCGATGGTATTTGTGACACATTTTTAAATGTTCAGTTGACTGAGTTTCATGTTTAATGAATAAAAGAGATAATTATGAAGATACTTGGTTGATACCTAGGATGCTGGCAGCAATCCGTATTAACCATCAGCACCAGTCAATGATATTTGTGATACATTTTTAAATGTTCAGTTGACTGAGTTTCATGTTTCATGAATAAAAAAGATAATAATAATGAAGATATTTGGTTGATTCCTAGGATGCTGGCAGCAATCTTATTAACCATCAGCACCAGTCAATGATATTTGTGATACATTTTTAAATGTTCAGTTGACTGAGTTTCATGTTTAATGAATAAAAGAGATTAATAATAACAACAACTGCTATTATTATTTAGTATCTGTAAATCCATTGTTACCTTTAATTTAGGTGTCCTAATAGTACACTGTATGTGCTGACTTTTAAAAATGTGTATCTATAAAAATATGTATCTAAATGTGTATCTAAATGTGTCATTTGTAGCTTTGGATGGGATACATCAGCCTGAGTTTGATGTCCCTTTAGCATTGTAAAATATCAAATGGCTGAATGGCTCTGTGAAATCCTATTAAGTGCACAGTTTTTTTAACATTTTGGGAAGTCACATCCATCCCATAAGTTTGCTTACTGCACAGAGAGTGATTGCTTAGCAAATTTAACTAAGGGAAGCTCGTGTAATATTTACTGCAGTAAGCACCGTTATAAGGACTAAAACAGAGATATAGAAGGAGGCAGAAGGAAGGATAAAGCGCAGCATGGAAGGAACTTATTATTTTAAGTTTGACTCATTTAAAAAAAAATAATTGGGGATTTCAGACAAAAAGATAGCATGCATTCTAGAATTCTGAAAGGAGGATAAAAATGTCATTTTTTTGTGCCTTAATTTTAAAAAGAAAACTCAACTCATCAGAATAGAGACTGAAGGACTGTGGCTTCTAGTCCTGACCTAGTCAAAAAGCCAGTGGATTACCTTGGACAACTCTCTCTCAAACCTAGGAAAAAGGCGAGCAGTTGGGAAACCTTGTCAAGATAATTGAAGAGACGGGTCTGGGCTGTTGGCAGGAGAATGCTGATTTGAAGGCACTAAAAAAAAATATCAATAGCTTTTACTTTAATTGGTGGGGTTATTTTAATCATTTGGTGCAAACACAAGCCTTTTTTTTGTGATTTACAGATTTAGCTTCAAGAGCAGTCATAGCAATAGCACTTAGACTTATATACCGCTTCATAGTGCTTTTACAGCCCTCTCTAAGCGGCTTACAGAGTTCAGCCTATTGCCCCCAACAATCTGGGTCCTCATTTTACCTATCTCGGAAGGATGGAAGAATGAGTTAACCTTTAGACTAGTGAGATTTGAACTGCCAAATTGCAGGCAACCGGCAATCAGCAGAACTAGCTTGCAGTACTGCATGCTAACCACTGCGCCACCTCAGCTCTCTGCCTATTCCCTATACCTATTTCCCAGTGTAGAATCCATAGTTTTATATCCCTAAGTAAACATAACCAGTTACAAAGTTTCCTTGAAAAGAAAACTGTGATCCTGTATTTGGCCACAATCCAAGTGCTTTAAGCAAAGGTGAATTTAGAGCCTGGTGTAGAAGAAGCTGTATCAATTTAATCGCATGAAGTATGTGTAGTGGTATGTGGGAAAGACCTTGGGTGACTGAAGAAAGAGATACTGGCTAGGGAACAGTTAGATAAGAGACCGCATAGCCCACAGCTATGAAATGGGAAGGGCAAGAAGACTCACAAGGGACGCTACCTACTTTCGTGGGTTGTAAAGGAGATGGTGGGAGTATTGGACTTTCAGACTTGCAAACTTTATTGCTGTTTTATAGTAAAATAGAATTAACTGATACGTTTCCTATCGGATCTACCTGGGAAGGCTGACAGTATCTGATAGGAGTGAATGTTTCGGCACGCAGGTGCTTGATTTAAGGAAAGGAAACGTGAAGGGAATGTTAGGAAATTCAATGCTAATCCTTCTCTGCAACTTGCTAATTATTTCTTTTGAAGCAGCTATGCAGGTGGGGGAGTGGCTCTAATGCATTCCAAAAAACAGAACAGGCTAGACACAGCGTTTCCTCTTGAAGGAAAGCAAGGCAAAAACTGGGTGTGCACTGTTAGTTTGGGGAAGGCAGACGGATTGAAAAAGAATGACTCTTGATGTTGCAATTCAGATTTCCCCAAACATGATTCCCCTTCAGGGTTTGGCTTTGCCAGCAAAACGCGATTGTAGCTTTAATCTAATGCCCAGAAAATCTCTGGCTAAGGATCAATTGATTAGGTGCCATCCAGTTGGT